GTGTGTGTGTGTGTGTGTGTGTGTGTGTGTGTGTGTTTGTATTTGAATTTATCCCTTTCTTATCTCTAATCACTGGCTGCCATGTGCAGCAGCCCCTACTGGTGGCTGTGAGCACCGACCCCTATCAGATGCCACGAGCTTTGACTCCGATCTCCAATGCCACAGTTCATTGTCTGACTCAGTTTACTCTGTGCTGTCAAAGCTGCCTTTGACAATACCCCACTGTCCCAGCTGCATATTTTGGTTAATCTTACAGTTAATGCAAATGCTTTACTCTGGCCCTGAATGATGGACTCAAGCTCAGGTGCCAATAATAGCTAGTTGCTAGGAATATGGTTTCCAAAGACAGCTTTGAAAGCCTTGTTTTAGATGAAGATTCACAGAGTAGTGTGGAGCTTTACCCTACCTTGTGACATAACCATTGAGTGTAGTAAGAAAAGGACTCATGAGATCCTTATCCTGCAGTCACATCAAATGAAAGACAGACTGGTGCCTCTCCTCCTCATCCAGCAGAAAGTCCAGAATAGTTCACCTCCTCTGAGCAGTGGAGAGGAGACTGGGGAGGCCACCCATGCTGATGGAGCTATGCTGAGTATTTGAATATTGGGCAGGGAGTCATGTGAGTTAAACACATCATTTTTAAAAATATGGATTAAAAAGTATCTTTTCAACATTAAAAGGTTCTTTTTATTCATGAAGTTCTGCACCTGTTCTATAGCTCCAAATCAGGTACTTTTAGGGTTTACTGGTGGAATGGGGAAAGGCTGAAGATAGCTTAAATTCTAAACAAAGACTCCAGAAGTCACTGTTTGTATCTCAGATACACAAAGAAGGAATCTGAAATAAAGCAATGAATTATTTATGATGTGTCTTTCTAGGAGGTAAGACCTATATAAGTAAAGAAATAGCACATATTCTTAGTTTTGTTTTTCTTTTCCACAATTCATGTAGAGATTTTTCTGGCTTATAATTGTTAAAAATTCTATCAGCCTCCTAAATACCCTCCAACTTCATGGCAATCACTAGCCTCAATAAAAGTCTGTTGCTCAGTTTTCTGTATCAGAGATCCAGTACATAAATCTATGCCTTAACTATCCTCATGGATCAGATAACATTCCAGTCCCAGAGCAGTAAAGAATTTGGGAACAGGAATGAAAATGTCATAGTTTCAGCCTTCTCTGTCACTTACTGCCAGGACCTCAGAAAAACATCACATCAAGGATCTTTGTGTGTACTCCGAATGTACGAAGTCCTCTAGACCTGCAGGTGAAGCTCACATGCTAATGCCTATTGGTTGGCTCAATGGATAAACCATCATTGAAATTGAGCAGGAATAACTGCAATGAGGTGAAAGATTTCCCACTCACTTATCACTGCCTAGTAATTTCTGCTAAGAAATACTCTCAATAAAAAGCAATTATTCATTGATTTTTGTCAATTATTCAACAGGTCTCTCCTTATAATTATTTTTATGGTACTATTGTACACAGATTATATTGAAGAGTTTCTTCCTGTCATAAGCCTTACTCCATGTCAAAAGTTATTATACTTCACAGCAAGACTCTGGACAATATATGAAGAGTCTTCAAAGAGAAGATCAGATGAATTGACAAATCCTGATGAAAGTGGATGATGAAACTGATCACCTATCAAAATGAGACCATATTATGTTATTTATCAAAAAACCCATTGGCTATTCAACAATCACACTTTCTGAGATTATGGAGACCTAATTCTACCATCTTTATATTAGCTTAATCTTTGCAAATCATTTATCTTTGTGGTCATTTGTTTTATCTTCTCTCCAGTCAGGTTTTGTCGTTTCTCCATTGGAGTCGGGGTTCAAGGCTCATGCCCAGCCAAGAACCAAGATATTCTTCTATGGTCCGACAATCACTCATTTACAGTAATAGTCAGCAAGAGAAGATAAGCTCATAACAATATGCACCTTAGTCAGCCAATATCACTAGTTAAAGACGAACAAAAGAAAGAATGGACTAATTTTTTTTAGAATTTATAATTGAAAGCCTAATTCCTTTGAATTTGCTTTTAGCCTGGTGGTCTTTAGTTACCTTGTTTCTACTCTATAGTAGGGCTTAATTTTTTATTGTTTCTCTTCATCCTTAGACAAATACTAGTATTTTTGAAGAAATTCACTTGATTTTAGAAAACCTACATTTTAGCAAGGTGAATAAGACTGAAACACTAATCATATGACTATGGAAGCTCTAATACACTCTATGAAACAGAACTCATAGAGTTATAAATGGAGAGATAGCCACCAGGATTATCAACAGAAGATATTCTTCCAGATATCGCACTGGCATGTTGTATTCCAGTATGTTCCAGATAGATGAAGATGTAAGACTATAATAATAATAATAATAATAATAACATGATCCCTTGTTCATTCATTCATGTTTCATTTACTTGTTTACTTTTGTGGTATGCACATGTGTACATGGTTATGTGTGTGCATCTGTGAGTGTGACTGTTGGTGAGTATGTGGCAAAGGCAGCCAGAGGTTTACATGAGAAGTCTTTCATATGTCGTCCACCTTATTTTTGAGATAGAATCTTTCACTAAAGCTTACCAATTGGGCAAGGTAGGCAAGCAGGCCTTCAGAAGCATCAGGTCTCTACCTCCTCAGTGCTGATATCAGAGCCCAGTTTTTATGAGAGTGCTGACATCCAAACTCAGGTTCTCATGCAGTAATGATAACCCTCTAATCAACAGGATCATCTCACAATGCCATTTTGTTTCTTTACTAAATTAGAACTGGAATCTAACCTTTAGGCAATAGACAGAACCATCTTCTCAAAAGAAAAGAAAAAGGAAGAGGAAGAAGAAGGAGAAGGAGAAGAAGAAGGAGGAGAAGGAGAAGAAAAGAAAGAAGTTAACTTTCCAAATTGCTAAATTTCAAATACTGACCAATTTAGCATTCAGTCTCTGGGATTTTTTTTGAAGGAAAGCCCAGGACAGGACAGTACTAAACTGACTCTGCTGTAAGTCTCCTGGGAAGTAATTCAGACTCTAAAGTCAGGAGCACAAAGCACTCTCTGTCCATCTTCTATCAGTTTGTTCCATGTTTGTGCTGACTCATCAGAATCTAGTAAAGGAGCAGATCTTTCCACAGCCCCCAGCCTAAGGAAGGAGCCTCAGGTGGCTGCCTCACCTGGGTGTGGCGGGGAGAACAGGGACTATTCCATGCAAAGTCTGGAGCAAAGTCGGTAATGAACTTTCGTGGCTGTACAACCTGGTAATATCCAACCCGGATTGACAGACAAGGCAATCAAATCATGATTCGACTTTAAAATCTGAAAAAAAAAAATCCAGGCAATTGTAATCTTTTAGACCCTCATTACTTCAGATTTAAAATGCTATCTCAAAGGAATGAAATAACTTTGCACCTTAGCCTCTTTTCAAAGGAAACCAAGCTTATAAACTAATAGAGAACAAGAGATAAAAATAGACCATTAACTTCTAAAGCAATAGGAATATTTTCCCTTTCTTTTTCAAACAACAATCTTTTCACTCTACACTTAGACGCATGCAAAGTCTTAAGGTCTAATCAACTTGATTTTTTTAAAATTTTTTACTTATTCACTTTACATCTTGCTCACTCCCCCACTCCTGGTCACTTCTTCTCATAATCCTTTCCTACCCCCTCCACTTCACCTCTGAGGAGAATAGGGGACCCCCTGGGGATATTCTTCCACTGATACAAGACAAGGCAGCTTAGTTAGAAGAACATATCCCACATACAGGCAACAGCTTTTGGGGTAGCCCCTGTTCCAGTTGTTTGGGACCCACATGAAGACCAAGCTGCACATCTGATACAGATGTGAAGGGAGGCCTAGGTCAGTCTGTGTATATTCTTTAGTTGGTAGTTCAGACTCTGGGGAACTCTAAGGGTCCAGGTTAGTTAACTCTGTTGGTCTTCCTGTGGAGTTCCTATCCTTTGGGAGACTGCAATCCTTCCTCCTATTCTTTCATAAGAGTCACCAAGCCCCAACCACTGCTTGGCTGTGGATCAGTCTGAGTCAGCTGCTAGGTGGAGCCTCTCCGAGGACAACGTGCTCCTGTCTGCAAGCATAACAGAGGATCGTTAATAGTGTTAGGAATTGGTGCTTGCCCATGGGCTGGGTCTCAAGTTGGGCCAATTATTCATTGGCCATTCTCTCAGTCTCTGCTCCAGCCTCCATGCCTGAATTTCTTGTAGACAGGATAAATTTAGGTAACCTACTGTGGGGCAAGTGGAACCATGTCACTAGACAAAAACTTGGTAAGGTCAAGTAGATTCAGAGACCCCATACCCTCTTACCTGAGAACAGTAGGAGTTTTATCTACTCCCAACCAGGTTCCTGTAGTGGAACACACGACCACAACACCCCATGGAGAGGACTGTGACAATCAGTCACATAGGGACAGTGCTCAAAGCCCCAACACTTGCAGATGAGACATCCCTAACATCTCAGACTAAGCCAATTGAAGCATCTTCTCTTAGACCCCAACCCACCGCAAAATATATATAAGAACCCGTCCAGAAGGAATAAAGAACACAGGAGTTGTTTAATCAAAGACATGGACCATCTGTTGTATAGAGCATAGCATTTTGTGGGAAGAGAAATTCTCTCCCAAAACTTTTGCTGCTGGAGACGTCCAGAGCTTACCAATGTTACTTCCCATATGGTGGCCCTGATCTTGGCTCCTAGCTGCTAGCTGCACCACCTCTGGAGCATTTGGCCCCTCCAGTCAGGCCAAAACCCTGCAGATCTCTCCAGACAGTGTCTAGTACACAGACAGGCAACTTTTTTTCTAAATAGTAAGGACTACAATCTACCCACATTTTTGATTTCTGTTAACAGTTTCACTCATTCTTAGAAAAAGTTCTATGAGACAGTTCATAATTCATAATTCTTCATAAGGAATAGAATTATAGCAACCTGCCAAACACAGTTAAATGCCTTTTTAAAAAATCTCCACTAGACACCAGAGGCCCTATGGCAACATCCTGACTTTCAGAGGCTTCTGGATATTGTATAACACCAGATCGTATGCTTTTTTATTTTTATGCCTATATTGACACCTGCAAATGAAGAAAATCATCTTCTGTGGATTCTTGCTACTATTAGGATGACAAAGGCCTCACTCTCCATGTCTCAAATAGGTAAGATTGCTCCATGGTACGTCATTGACCTAAGTTAACGAACTGAAGACATCTGAGAATCAGCTTAGAGATATTATTGTGTGTATAATTTGCTACATAGAGACAAAATTGACTGAGCTATTTGAACAGTCAGGCACCTATCACCACTGTTTCTCTTTTATCTTATTTTTAATATTTTAAGATGCATACAATTATACATGTAGCACTAGCCACACTATGTACTGGTAAGAGAAACAGAAATATATAAGAGATATTGTTGAATATATTAATGTTTCTAAGTAGGATGTACATGGAGGATGATGCCAAACTGAGAAAAACACTAAGTCAATTTGTGTTTCTTAAATGCATCATAGAATTCTGTCACTAGTAATGATTATGCTTAAAGTGTTTGTTTCCCTGAAAGTTGTACATTGTAACTTAATCTATAATGCAACAGAAGATGGAAGCCCTTTGGAAGCTGGTCAGGGATTAGTACTTTCATAAAAGGGAACTAAATGAGCTGCTGTGCCCCTTTTGCCTTGTGAAAACACAAAAAAGCTGCTATTCAGGTAGAACATGACCCCCAGACTCAAAATCTACAGGCACTTGCATCTTAGACTTTCTGAACTCCAGATCTGTAAAAAATAAACTCATGTTATTTGTAAAGACTTAGACACACACACACACACACACACACACACACACTAGTTCATGATAAATGCTGAAATGACTGAAGAGCCTAAAAATAGTGAGCACCACTTTAGAGTAATGGAACATCTACCGGGCTAATGCGGACAAGCTTACACTTCATCACACTGCCGTTTACCATCCTGCAAACATAATCTTTTTGAAGAAACTAAGAAAAAAAAAAACAGGCAAACTGAGGTTTGCATGTCTGATACAATAGCTGAAATATCCTTTAAAATAAGTATGCTATCTTGACCTCTGTGATATCTGTATAGCTGTCTCTTTCTGCCAGCCTCTATGTCTCCTTCTGTATCTTCTCACCTCTCTCAGAGGGCTCACAGATGAAAACAGAATGGGTTTCGAAGGCTCTGCTGTCATTAGGTAAGGTCTGCACATTAAAGAGGAGCCTTTATCCTACTCTTCTCTGTAAAGACTACTATAGTCCAGTAGGGAAAGGCACTTGAGATCCTTGCCATCAAACCTACGTACCTGAATTTGATCTCTGGAATCCACATTGTGAAAAGAAAAAGCTATGTCTTACCAGTTGGCCTCTGACCTCAACATATGGGCCATGGGCATGAGAATGCACTTATCCACACACACACACACACACACACACACACACACACACCATGCAAACATGCATATGCACACACGCATACACACACTTTCACACTTTCTCTAAATAATTAAATACATAAATAAATGTTAAAAAGTCAAAGGCCTATAGCTGGTATAACATACTGGTACATTTCCCATTCCCATACCTTGCTCCCTGTGGGGCTCAGGCAATTCAACCTAATTGTCAAGGTGTTAGTACAGGTGCAGAATGTGTCATGCTAATAACATATGCAGAATTGCTGGGACAGGAGCTCTACGCAAGAAATGAACTGCCTCTACCAAATCAGGAGGAAGGAAGAGCTCTCTCTTGGCTCCTGGAAGGCTTGGTGGCCTCAGGTCAGCTAGTGGTTTGCTGATCAAGAAAGAAAATGAATAGCAATGAGGTGGATTTGACTGAAAAAGAAACCTGAGAATATTTGAAGCAAAAAACGTTCCCTCAAAGTAACACCTCCCCATTCCCCTATGCTCACACTCCTGACTTCTTATGTTCTGTCTTAGATTTCTATTGCTGTGATTAACACCATCATTAAAAGATAACTGGGAAGGAAAGACTTATTTTATTTTACACTTCTCAGGTCATAGTACCTTACTGAGGGAATTCTGCAGGAACCTAGAAGTAAGAGCTAATGCAGAGGCATGAAGGTGTACTACTCACTGGCTTGCTCCTATGGTTTGCTCAGCCTTCTCTCTTATAGCATCCAGGACCACCTGCCCAGAGGTGGCAACACCATTGTAATGGGATGGACCTTTTCACACCAATCACTAATTTAAGAATATGCCCTACAGGTTTGTCAGCTAGCCAATCCGATGGGGATATTTTCTCACTAGAGGCTCCTTCCTCCTAAATGACTCGAGCTTGTATTAAGTTGGCATAAAAATAGCCGGCTAAGTAGATTGTTGAGATGTAATTCCACATGATAAAAAAATGTTATTTGGCAAGTTTCAGGGATTAGTAAAACCTGAAGAACAGAACAGATACTTATCAAAAGAAAGCAGATAATTCATTTTTCTACTATCAAAATCACATCAATATATCTTATGGAAAAAAACTTGTATCTTAAAGCCATTCTACCTCCGCACAGTCCTGGTGTGATATCTGATGTGTAGTCCCTTTGGCATTTTTCTTCTCTTGTTTCTGTCACTGAATCTAACTTCCTCTCGCCTGTCTCAAGAAGCCAGAGGAAGTGTGGAAGTTTCAAAGATAATTGAAAACATATTTTAACTCACTGTGTCTTTGTAAGAGTAAAAGGAAAAGAAACATTGCAGAACTCTGGATCTCTAGATTTATAGCACTCTATTTGTTAATTTCAACCCTCCTGTAATATAAGCGAATATCATTTTGTTATGCACATGACAAATCCTAGACAGGAAAATAAACTCTCCCAGGCTACTGCTACATGGTTAGCCAGCAGATGGAAAGCAACACCCAAGAGAAGCCAAATTCTTGGCAAGCTGCTAGAATCATTTCTGTTTCTTTCTTTTCCTTGGATATAGAAAATCTGCAATTTTGGTAGCTGAGCAGAAAAATGAAGGCAATAAGTTTACATAAGCTGTTTCCTGAATAAATACAAACATGTGTTCACATCCCTGAAGATGAAGCTTTAGTGGAGGAAGGAAGGTCTAAGTCTTTTAATGCCACCCAGAGGTTCAGATTAATTATCCTTTCAGTCAAGGTCACTGACAGAGTAAAGAATTTTCAGGCCCCCTAGAGCCAAGTGTTATCTTTCTTATACAGCAACCATGGATGCTTAAGTAAATCAATACATGACAATTAGCAGGTAACAGGCAGGGTTATTAATAGAAATAGGATATGATCTGGCTGTAGATGAGCCTGATAAACCAGGAGGGAACAACTGCAGCTGATAGCGTACATTGTAATGAAATATCCATTTCAATAGGAGGAGCAAAAATGCCATAAAATGATAAACAAAACAGAAACCGAGCATTTCACAATTTGCTGGTATATGAGATACTGGAGGAGGGCAATATATATTCCTGGAACAGCATGCATCTAAAGAGAACCGGTTCTGCGATTTGTATTCTAATTATTCCTATGGGCTTTAGTTTAGAGCAATTTATGTTCAGCATTTCAAACTGCTTCTCTCTTCCTGCCTTAAAGCGCATGGAGGTAACCATCTCTGTGGGTTTTCACTAATGTCAAATGGTCAGTGTCCATTACACAGGGTAATGAACATTCATTCCTGAAACAGAGCATATTAGATTTTATACATGATCATGACAAACGAGAGTGTCAGATGTTACTAGTAGCTTTTTTCCCCATGTGTTTGAGTGTTTTGATGTATGTGTGTCTGTGCACCATGCATATTCCTGGTATCTGAGATGGAGACCATATGAGTGAATCTGATCCTCTGGATCGGGAATTACAGTTGGCTGTGAGCCTGCACATTAAGTACTAGGTATTGAACCCATAGCAAATGTTCTTAACTTCTAAGCCATCTTTCAGGCTCCATAACCTTTTTAAAAGTGATTTTAAACCACTTATATTTATTGTCTTACAGTTTTGGAGAATCAAAAGTCCAGGCATAGTTTATGTGGGACCTCTGGTCAGAGCTTCTGCAAGTTGGAAACAATATACCACTACGCTACCTGCCTTTAAGAATCTTAAGGTCCTCTTGTAGATCATTAAGCTGCTGACAGGACTTAGTTGTGAGACGGTGCAGAACTATGGCTCTATATACTTTCTGTTGTATGTAAAGGACTCTCCCTCCCTCTATTAGCTGCCTAGAGTCCTCTTACACTGGAGCAGTTTATGTTATTTTGTAACATTCCTCTTCAAAAATTTCTTTCTTAAAGTGTATATCTGTGTTTTAGTATTCTACTATTGTGAAGAGACACCATGGCCAGAGCAATTCCTAAAGTGAAGCATTTAATTGGAGTTTGCTTATAGAGGTTTAGTCAATTACGATCATGGTGGGAAGCATGGCAGCTTGCAGGCAAACATGGTACTGGAAAGGTAGCTGAAAGTTATACATCTGCATGAGCAGGCAGCAGGAAAAGAGAGATTGGGCCTGGCTCAATTTGAAACCTCAAGGCCCGCCTTCAGTGATACACTTCCTCCAATGAGGCCACACCTACTTCAACAAGGCTACACCTCCTAATGGTACTCTCTGAGCATTCAAATATATGAGCCTAAGGGGAGCCGTTCTTATTCAAACCACCACAATCTGATTAAATTATTCCCACCTAGAATGTTCTGCCTCCCTCAGAATATATTGATTTGATGTCACAATTATATCTGTAAAATACCTTTACCTTTGTATATACTCATCAAAACAATATAAAATTGAGGCTAAACTAAGGGGGAAAATCAGTTGCTTACTGTTTGTCTCTCATACAACTTGCAATATTATAATGTGAAAACATTGCTAAATGTCTTTGTATTCAAGTAGAGACTTCATAGCCATAAAATATTTATAAGTATAATCATGGAACGTTAGAGAATAAGTAAAAAAATGTTAGCTTTAGTCTCTTCTATCTTCCCATAAATATAATTTGTTCATGTAAAAGAAAAACTGTGTCCACATAGTTTTTCAGAAATATTAGCATTCAGTATTAAATGGAGAGGAGAAACTAATAGAAATGGTTTCTTTTTGTTTGCTTGTTTACTGTATTGAAAGAACTCAAAGGAAAATAAGGTAACTTCAAACTTCTGCCTTTACCACAGTCATCTTTTCAGCTCTGCATGACAAACGAGTACAATATCTGTCAGGGTACAGACACAGAGGGCTTTCAACAGACACCACTGCAAATGAACATTTAGATCTGGAAAAACACCAGGTTAGTGCCTTATTTATTTATTTATTTACTTACTTATTTATTTATTTATTTATTTATGAGTTCATACAGTGGGTGTAAGACATTTCCTTTTAAACTGTTTTTACAGTATACAAGGAGTAACAGAGAGGTGATTTATAGTAGTATCAGCACTGTCTCTTTAAATTTTTATATTCTCAGCCTATGAAAAATGAATGTTCAAAAAATAAAAGTAGGTCTATGTTGAAGTATGAAGTAAGGGTTAAACAAATGCCAAGTGCCCAGCAGGCCTAGGAAATACACTGGAAAAGCCTAGGAAAATGTGAGGGTGGATAAAAAAAAGTCACTTTTCTGTAACCAACTGATGGCCTTGCCAGTGTTACACACTACGGCAGAAGTGGGGGTCCACCTGTCTCCACCTCTCCTGTAACTGAGCTGGAGCCTTCTGTCCCAATCCCTGCTGGTAAATCAGGACACTGCTTACATTAGTAACAGGATAAGGAAATGTAACCCAAGAGTTTGGCCACTGCCTGTCTGCACTGCTGATAAGAGCTTCATTCCTAATCAGAAAGCTTCTCTTCACAGTGAGTGAGTTAACCCAGAAAGACTCTTCAAGGTGCTAAATGATTGTTGGTGCTCGGTCCTCAGGAGACATCCATATGATCCCTTCCAAGGCTCTGGGGAAATCACAGAAAAGGAAGCAGCAAGAATGGAAGAGCCATAGGATGGGAAGGAGAGCCGTGAGCTGCTGTTTTCTAGATATGACATGGCTGTTACACTCACAAAGTCACAGGAGCTGCCGTTACCTGCACAAGACCAGCCTCTGTCAGCATTCATTTATACATGGGGGTGGGGCACATGAGGCCTGTGTCTTCCTAGAAAGCTTTTGGTAGTTGAGGGCTGCTGGTGGTTGAGCCACTGGTGAGGAATCCACACTCCAGTGAGTAGTGCCACACCCATGGCCCTGTGGGCTAACCTAGTTAAATTCAGTGGGCCTCAAAAAAACAAAAACAAAAACAAAAACAAAACGAAAACCAAACCAAACAGCAACAAAACTCCAAGAGCTGTCCAAGTGGAGAGGAGACTTGGGAGAACTGGATGGTGTTGAATGTGACCATACGTATATTATATACGTTATGAAATCATCAACAAATAAACTAACATTTTAAATAAGAGGCTCCCAACAACCTATAATATCTGCCTGGTGGATTTCTTACTGAGGCTCTAGGGAGATTTTGTTTACTTTTGTATTTTGTAAACACTGCAATCTCTGTTTCTTCATGGCACTTGTGTCTTTGTTGAATTGATCTTTATTGGGGATTGTATCTAACTGTCTGTAGCCCCTGGAAGCCCTCCTGACTATCATTTAATTAATTATCCATTAGATGTTTGCTGAACAAAGAGAACATGACTTCTCAGGGGCAACTGCACAGCAAATCAAATGCTGACGTGTTGGAGTTTTAATCTGACCAAGATTTGAATTGCAAGTCAAAATAGTGAATGAAGTTTCGAAGAGTTTCGCAGGTACTGTATATAGAATGTACCGGGAAAGAAGCTGCCGCGGTCAAGGTAGGGGATGGAAAGTGTATGCAGGCCTACAAGGGGACTGAAGGGGACCCAAACACATAGATAGAGAGCCTCAGAGGCTAGTCAGGTGGCAACAAAGGAAAAGGAGACTACAGCCTATGGAAGGTTGAATTTTCAGAAGGGCAAGCAGACAACACTGAAGTGGTTCAACAAGGAAAGAAGTATAGCACTTTTGGTATGCTCAGGAAGATTTCTCTTGAATGTCTCAAGAAGAGAGACGTAGGACCGAGATTTTTGCCTTTCGTTCAGTTTGAAGCTGGTTCAGCATTCCACAAATGATGTCAAAGAGCTTCAGTGAGCTCTAAAGACTTGGGAGCTCCTTATAATAAAACTGTTCATTTTGTATGTGCTCAAGGAGGAACAAAAAAGAGAGGACATGAGGGGAAGGAACTTGTGGGGAATCTCTGAAGAAAGCACAGCTGAAGGACACAGAGGACAGTGTCACGATCTGCCTACCCTTTCTGGGGCATCTTACAGTTCTGAAAAGGTTTGTAGAGCATGATCATTACAAAGCCTGAGGTTTGGCACAATTAGAGATTCTGGCAAGAAAACCAAGCAACCTTTAGTTGGGTTGTCTGTGTGTGTGCTGCAATATTGTTGATATTAAGCATTTCGTGTATTTTAACAGGGAAAGCATTATATCCTAACTTTGAAATAACTTGATATTTTTTTACGTTATTAAAGAACCTATCCAGATCACCAATTCTAGAAGTTTTCTTTAATTATACTAACACTAATCCAGCAGATAAATATCTTCTTAGTATTTGTTGGTTTTGATCAAGAGAAAGACCTTTAAAGTATAGTTAGCTTTTCATTTTAATGTATGCATATGAACATTCTAAGGAACTTCAAGGAATGCAGGAAAGCTAACAATAGGCAAGTATTGGAGTAAGAAGACTCAGTATCTTAAATATGAAAGTGAAATTGGATTTCATTATACAATATGGAAAGGATTACAAAACCCACAGAGCAGAAGCAGTCTGTTTGCTTCCTTTTGATGTGGTTGTGGAGTGAAACTACAATTAGCCATAATGAGACTTGTATGTGCAGCTCAATGGGACAGGGTGCAAGATTGCAGCAGGGCTCAAAATGCCACAAGCTCAATCTGGTCTCATTACAACATATAATTTTATTGTCTCCTTAGATAGCACAATTTTTATGTTATCAGAGTTTCCCCAATCCATTATCTCACAAATGCAATTATAAATGCATTATAAATTCACCAAAGCTGATAAAAAAATCAAAGTAGTAAATTGATTTGAAGTGAAGAATGGGGTTAGGAAGGAGATGGTGGTCAAGTTGTAAATGGAATGTTGCTCACCCTTATAGGTCAGAAAAAAACCTGCTTACACCAAGGGAGTTACATGCCTGATTCTAAAACAGGGCTGGTGAGCGGATCCAACCAATAGAGGTGTCTGCTGTCGAGTTTGGTGAACTGAGTTTGATGTACAGGACCTACATGGTAGGTCTCCTCTGACCTCCCCACACAGTGTGGTATGTGGAAATCCATACACATATGCAAATAAATAGGTAACTAGAATAATATAAATAAACTTATTTTGGTTTTAGTTTGCTATATTTTTCTTGGCCAATAGATAATCTTTTGATTAGGACACATTTATTATACATAACAATAGATTCCGTATCTTTTCATAGGGCATAGAAAGCATGTTGATCACATTCACTGTCCAGTACACTGTCCTGTCCCACCTCTCCATTTCGGCTGACCCACATTTCCACTTCCCAAAATACCCCAAAATTATTCTGTTTTCAGGTTGTTTGTTTCTGTGTGCATGTTGAGGGGGCAGGTTTTGTGTATGGTGTGTGTGTGTATCTGTCTAAATAAATTTGATTAATGTTGCTTACAGGAACACAGGCAACGTATCAGTGGCTATACCAATGTAGAAAATGCTTCTAGAACTGGCGGCAACTATGAATTATTAATCAATCTTCATCAATGAGTGGGGTCGCAGGAACCTCACCCTCATCCACGAGGGAAGGTTGAGTGGCCAGATTTGGGGTTTTCTGCAGATTGACACAGTTACTGTTGGTTCATGAGCGTAAAGGCCATGTCTTCTCTAGAAGACACCTTTCTACAACACTTTTGTACTGCAGGCTCTTGTATTCCTTCTGTCATCTTTCTGTGATGTTCTTTGGGTCTTGGAGGGAATGATGTACATGTTGTCTTTAGGGCTGAGACCTTAGCACATTGATCTGTTATGAGTCTGCAGTAATCACTATCCATGGCAAAAAGAAGCTTTCCCAATCAAAGCAGAGAGTAAACACTATTTGTCCAAACCAAATATTATTGTCATTTAGCAAAACAATAGTAGAAGCTTCCCTGCTATGACTTATGAGCAAACTAGCAACAGATTTTTGGACAGTTTTATGGTATTGGGCAGGAATTCCTCCTGTGGAGTGGGCCTCAAATCCAATCCGATGGTTACTCCCATTACAGCTATACCACTCTTGTGTCAGTGGAAACCTCTTACCTCACAGATTGGCACTTTCATTAGTTTGCTTTTAGTTGCTGTGAGAATCACATGACCTAAAGCAACTTATAGGAAGAAAGAATTTATTTGGTTTTCACTTTCATATGAAAGTCTATCACTGAGAGAAGTCAGGGAAGGAATCCAAGCAAAGTTCCTTGCTGGCTCACACCCAGATACATGCTTAACCAACCTTCTTAAACAGCCCAGGGCCATCTGCCTAGGACAGGGTGTGGCCTACAATTAGCTGGGTCCTCTTATATCAATTGGCAATCAATAAACACAACCCACATTCCCAGCCTCCATGCGCCCTTGAGACGTGCCCACAGGCTAATCTGTTCTGAGTAATCCCTCAATTGAAATTCCCTTTTCAGATGACAACTTGACAATCAAAGCTAAGGAGGACAGTGCTACAGCTCAAAAGGTCCAGAACTGAGTGGGACCATTAATTACTCTTCTCTCCCAGCAGCCTGCTAGTGTTCTTTGGAACTATAAAAGCTACTCCGCAGGAGGAAGCCTTCAGCTCAATTCCAGCTTGGTTCCTCTTTGTCCTGTGACTAAAGCTTGTGGTGTCTTGCCATCATGCTATGATCACTACCAGTAATAATTTGGGCAGAAGGGAAAGCTCAGACACCTCCCTCAGCAGCAACAGACAGGAGTATCCCATCCGTGGCATCGGGCCTTTCATTTAATGGCACCTGGGAGTTTTAGCCACCCATGCAGTGTGTCTCTATTCAAACTTCTATTCATTTCAGTTCAATTTTTAAGTTAGCTTACAGAGTATTATTAGGCTTCCTCGTGACTACTTTTTCATTAACTCAGTTTCAGCTGACACTCACCCACTCCTTAACCTTCACAGTTGACATTCATATCCTGTAGTGATTTCTGCAGCATTTTCCAAGAGTTAAAATGTTTATTATTAATAATATTATTATACTAATACACTATTTTATTATATTATTAATTATTAATAATATTCATTATTATTAACATAGAGGTTGCTTAGTTCATTGGATATGCATATATGCTAAACCTTGTTACAGTCATTCAAAGATATATACCCATTAAATTAGTATACAAATTATGTGTGCAATTTATTAAACCAAATGGTCCTCTATTGTAAATTATTTATACACATGTACACTGTGATCAGTGTACAGATAAGACTATAAACATTTTTTAAAGTATGTCATAACTTTTATGTCATTGTCCTTAGGCAGCCTTCAACAGCAGGTACAGTCCTACAGTTCTGAAGATGAATTTGTATGACACATCATACTGGAACCAGCTATTGTCCAACTGTGGGGAGATGTTGGCACTAGAAATACAGTGCAGGCACTCAAGATCATAAGTAGAGAAACATATAAATCAATCATCTCCACATTGGCCCTCAAGTGTTTCTGTCCTTAAAGTTTTATTGTTCTAATTACTTTGATGCACTTTTATTAAGTGTGGTAATTATACATAGCATAAAATGAATCTTTCCAAGTGCGGAGTTTAATGCATTACAAACATTTACAGACTGTAACAAACAGCCACTGCCCCACCACTACTACCAGAAGAGCCTGTTTATCTACCGTAATCGAATTTTGGTTGAACTTTGATGGCCACTTTCTGTTTCCTTGTGTCCCTTCAGCTTAAAGATACCAATTAATATTTACTATTATTATTCCCAA